CTCACGTCATCCGTCATTCAACAGCCAGTGCAGGAGGCGTCGATGTGAGCGCGCGGGGCGGCGCGGGGCTCGGCACGCGAGCGCCGCTCCAGCTGACCATCATCGTGCCCACCGTGGTGACCGAGGCGGGCCGCCGCCGCCCGGGGGCAAAGCCAGGGCCAAGCACATCACGCACACACACATACACAAACAGTACGCCACCGCCTCAGTAGAGTAAACAGACAAGAGAGAGGGAGAGAGAGGGAGATAGACCAATAACTTCGCTCTTACCCTGTCATCACCTGCCCCGCACGCCCTCTCTCTTCCTCCACCTTGCCTTCCTCGCCCCCCACCCCTCTCTCACTCTCTATCTTTCTCTTTCCCCCCACTCCTCTTACCCCAAAGTATAGCGAGGCGCAATGCGAAATGGTACGACCACCTTGTTGCTCTGCGCGGCCACTGCAACCCGGATTTAAGGGAATGACGGGACCCCGACCCTCCTCCCCTACTTCCTTTATCTCTCTCGCTCTGTGTCTCTCTCTTTGTCAGCATCCCTCCGCACGTCTTCTCCTGTTTGGCCTTCTCTCCCTCCCACCAGGATGGGGACGGGGCCCCGGGGCGACACAACAACTTTCGGGAATGGCAATGATCGCCTCAATGCGCGCCGCGCTGCGCAGCGCTCCGCACGGCTTTACCGCACTTGTCGCCCGCAGATTTGCTTCTCCGCGCTCCTGTTAGTGGTTCGGCTGTTTGCCACTTTGCTCGAGACAGCTCGAGACCGTCTGGTACAATCTGCGTCTCCAAACCAGCTTTTCATCGGTTCCCGCCTTCCCCACGCGTGCCTTCCGCTTCCACCCACCTACTGCCCGACCGACCGGAAGTTGAGTGTGCGGCAGGGTAAAGAGTTGAGGGGGGAGGCACCGAGAACAGAGCAACAGTTCAGCCTCACCTTGACGCGCACTCGTCACTTACTGAACAAGTGCTGCACAGCACAGAACTCCACCTGCCGCTTCACCCTCTGCACCGGGGGTTGCACCCGCGAGCGCGTCTGGCACCCTCGACCTGAGCACCGCTGCGCACCCCCGCCATCTGCACCATGCTGTTTGCGAGGGGAGAGGTCGAGGGAGCGATGCTACTTGCAGCCGCTTGGTCCAGGACGACGACGACGATGAGGAAGCGCGGAGCAATCGATTTCTCGCATTTAGTGCGATGATGCGAGTGAGAGAACTGACCAACATCACTTTGTTTTGCGACTCCTGATGCACCTATAATCCATAAATCAGTTCGCCCGTTCCTATACACGCGATCACTTTCGTTCGTTGGTTCGTTGGTTCGTTGGTTCGTTGGTTCGTTCGTTGGTTCGTGCGTTCGTTCTATCATTCATTCATTCATTCATTCATTCATTCATTCATTCATTCATTCATTCATTCATTCATTCATTCATTCATTCATTCATTCATTCATTCATCATTTATCCACTCATTCATTTACCCATCACCACTTCATTCATCCACTTATTCATTCATGCATCATACATGCATCCACTCATTCATTCTTTCACTCAACGCACACGTGTTACTCTCCCACGTTTTTGTTGTTTTATGTCATGACTTCGGCACAGGCTGTATGCGTCCGTATGCTCGCAAAGTTTGCATTCAAAACAACCACGTCATACATTCGTTCCCGCGTCTTCTTGCATTAGTCATTCAACGTGCTGACCTGCGGGACGCCACACTACGAGCGCCTTTCTCTATGGAGGCCGCTACCCCCCGGGCCCGGCCGGGGCGCCCCGTCAACCCTTACTCCCCCTCCCGCCCTCTTATCCCTCCCCCTCCCTTTTCCGACTCAAGGTTAACGAGACGTCCGTCCGCGCGGTAAGCCGCTCCTGTGAGTCGGTGAGCCGCACAGAGTCGGGGTGGAAGAAAGTGAAAACGCGATACTACTACACTATAACGCGCAGGTCGCTCGCGCCGCACCGCCGCGCCACCGCGCCGCCGCCGCTCCGCGAAAGGAAAGACGGATAAAGAGAGTGAGACGCACGGCGGTGCCGCGCGCGGGGGGGAAACTTGACGCGGAGTGTCTG